CAAGAAGTCTACGCCCGTTAGCGACGCTCTTCCGGCTGTCCTCTTACACACTTTCTCGCGCTAACACCGAGCCTTCTCTTTTGTAGGTAACGCCATCGTCATTTCTAGATGCCAGATAGGTTGTCGTATCATATTTTCCATGTCCAAGAAGTCTACGCCCGTTAGCGACGCTCTTCCNGTAGGTAACGCCATCGTCATTTCTAGATGCCAGATAGGTTGTCGTATCATATTTTCCATGTCCAAGAAGTCTACGCCCGTTAGCGACGCTCTTCCAGCCGTCCTCCGACACACTTTCTCGCGCTAACACCGAGTTTTCTCTTTTGTAGGTGACACCATCGTCATTTCTAGATGCCAGATAGGTTGTTGTATTATATGTTCCTGCCATGGATTCTTTAACCGAAAGATGTACTCAGAGTACGCACAAGATTAACCCCGTGAGATGGTTTCCAGACCTTTCTCAATGTAACAAGAGTGTTGGTGCCAAGAGTGTCAAGACGAAGAATAGCAGGTGGTTTCCGGACCTGCCTCAATGTTGTACACGCGGAGGCGAGAAGCAGAACCCTCTACCGAAGCTCAGTGCATCTGGTGAGAGGACCACCAATGTTTGTTTGTTTCCGAAGCGTCTGCGATCGAACACGACAACAAGAAAGGTTATTGCGCCATGCCGAGCAGCAAACACAGTGATGGGTCTCTGCGCAACTGGCAAAACGGGGAGTACAATCCAGATAGAGCGCTCTGGGAAGTGGCAGTGCCCGAACATTGAAGGCGAACAATCCAGAGAGAGAGACGATGTACAGGACATGAGCGAGAACTTTGTTGTGAAAGAAATGCTCTACGACAGCGTGGCGCAAGAATTGCGTGACAACGACACTGAGGAAGAGGAACCCAGTGACGATGATGAGGAGGAGGGCGAATCAAGCGACGACGATGAGGAGGAGGAGGAAACGAGCGAGGATGCCGATTCAGAAGACACAGACTCTGAGGATGATGAAGGGAACAACGAGTGGGGAATTGATGTCGACATGTTCAAGAAGAATCTATCTGGAGAACTTTTAGGAGAAGAGAAGCAGATAATAGCACAGGAGGTGAGAAGAGGACTGTACAACAAATCAAGCAAGAGTGAGAAACCTCCTTACAACTTGGGAAAGCGCGGCAGGAACGCACGTGTGTACAACAAAAAAGCTAACTACCACGTGAACATAAAGAATGTCGAACTAGTTCTGAAGGAAGATTGCTGCAAGGCTAACTGTTACAAGAAGTTCACGACGGTAGATGTTTTCTACAAGCGCGAAAAATTTTGGGCGATGAAACAACCTGAGCAACTGAACTTCTTTCTCGCAGAGATGAGGGCTGCATCGTACTTTTCGGATGAGGGAGATTTAGAGGTGTTAAGGGTGACGTTCAATGGCGTAAAGGTTTGCACAAAAGCGTGGGGAAAGCTGTACGGATGCTCGACTACACATGTTGCAAAGATACGCAAAGAATTCAGAGAAGGAATGGTGTTGTATGGGCATACAAACAAAGGATCAGTCAGATTATCTGCTTCATCACAACAAATTCTCGCCTGGTTGCATGAATATTTCCGATGCAATACAGAGAGTATGCCAAATAGCGACCGGTTTCATCTTTCAGATACTCTCCGGCGCAGAGACGTGTACGACTTCTTCAAGCGAGACTGCAAAGAGTTGTACACGAATAAGACTCTTCCTTCCCGTTCCAGATTTATAACCATTTGAAGGGTTCACTGCCCGAAAGTCCTTATTCATGGAATGAAGAGGTTCTTGGTCTGTTTCACATATCTGAAATTCAAGACAGGCCGTTCACAGGCAACAAGTGCGTTCGAACGAGGTAATGACATAACCTCAGTGTTTATTTTCTCTCCCCCTGTCTTCCTGACCTTTTTTCGCTCTCTCTCTTTCTCTTTCTCTCTCTCTCTCCCTGACCATTCTTCTCTCTCTCTCTCTCTCTCTCTCTCTCAGTGTTCATTCTTCAATATTTGCCACAGCGCGACTGATTGTTTTGAATTATATCCCTTTAAGTTGTGTTTGTAGAAGGTAGAGGCTGTGACTTGCACATTTACGGAAGGATTCTCATGGAACTCTTCTTTGTCTCTCCTATTTCTTCTTCTTCTTCCTCTCTCCCTCTATCTCTCTAAATGTTCTCCATGTAGAAAGAAAAATAAATTTTGTGTCAGCGCAAATTGGGAAGGATTCTTATGAAAGTAGTAATTTTGGTAAATAAATAGTTAAACGTCTTCTCTCTGTCTCAGTTATAGTCATATAACACTTTGTCTCTTATTCGTCTTCGACTTTTTAGAGTTAAAGCCCTTTACCACTTTATCTAATAATCGTCTTCGTGACGGCTGCATTGCATTCCCCGAACTCGTTCAGTCAATCAAAACAAAAATTTTGGGGAAGAATGAATTGAAGATTCTACGACGTTTGTGGACTTACTTTTCTGAGTTATAGCCCTATAACACTTTGTCTAATAACCGTCTTCGATTCCTCAGAGTAAAAGCCCTTTAACACTTTATCTCTTAGCCGTCTTCGATTTTAAAGCCCTTGTTATTAGTGACGTCTGCGTTGCCTTGCCCAAACTTCGAATGTTATGATGCACGACACTTGTGGACTGACTTTCCTGAGTTATAGCCCTGTAACACTTTGTCTAATCATTGCTTTCGATTTTAAGGCCCTTCATCGCGCTTTGTCTCTTTTCTTTAACATGTTTTGACAAAGTAACCGCTCGTTTTGTTATTTGCGCAGAAATGTTTGGCCAGGCACTAGAGAAGCACCGGTTAATGCAAGCAGAAGAGAGACAAAAACTCAGTAAGCATCGCCACAAGGCTTCAAATCATCCGTCAGAGTATGTCGCAATGATCATTGATGGGATGGATCATAGCAAGACTATACTGCCACACTTCACTAGGGTTCCAAAGGATTCGAAACTCAAAGAAGGGAACTTTGTGAAAGTTCACGTGGTTGGGGCTAAGATGCTAGGACTCCCATCGAACGCCTCTGCAACTGTTTTCTTTGACAACTTCAAATTTGATTCTAATTGCATCCTAACTGTTCTTCGTCGTCAGATTTCTCAACTTCCTGTACCATTTCCGAGAGTCCTGTATCTTACACTTGATAACACTTCGAAAGAGAACAAGAACAAATTTGTGTTGTCATATCTCATGTTCTTGGTGAAAATGAGAGTGCTTAGTAAAGTTAAATTAAACTTTCTTCATGTAGGTCACACGCACGAGGACATCGACCAGATGTTCAGCTGTTTCTCGAGAAAACTGGCTGCACATGGAGCGTTCGATCTTCCTGAGTTGCAACACGTGATTAGGGAGTCGTACAAGGTAGAACAAGATCATGGCGTGCACGTTGAGGAGATGACGGAAACAATGGATTGAAAGTTGTACGTTCAGGATCATCTACATAATGTCATTCATATTAGCTTCAACCAACATTTCCGAATCAAGCGCAACGACAACGGGGAGGTGCGCATTTGGAGCAAGCAATATCATAACTCGCAGTGGCAGCCGAACGACAGAGAAGGTCTGGACATCTTCAAGTCAGAGCCAACAGGACAAGTTCAAGCTTCGCCAAAGCATGCAATCCGATCTTTGGAAGCAAAATATCGACTTACTTGTCGCGGTGAGGATGAGAGGCGTGATAAGGTCGTCAGCAGTGAAGGTCATGTCCGTAATCGAAAAGCGGAAGGATCTTCGAAATTCAAGGTTGACGATGATGTTCTTTCCATCGTCGCCTTGAAAGCCAACGTACATGCCCTCTCGCATTACGCTCAACCCCACAACATTGAATGGTGGAATAAGTTTATACACGAAACTCTCGACCTTGAGGACACAAACCTCAAAGAGCCTTTCACGTGACCCTCTGTAACAGCTGATGTCAGCAGAGCAGGTGAAGAAGTTCCACCAACCGCTAACGACTTTGACCAACGCTGGGATGATCTGTTCCCTCCTGAGAGACCCATCTACATCGGCGCGCGAAAGAGCAGACAGTTTCGAGAGAACAGAGACGGAAAGTACGACGATCTCGAGGTCAACACTTTCATCGCATTACGAGCTTGTTCGGGGCAGGAAGAGAGAGGCAAACCTTACCACATTGGCAAGGTTGTCGAGCTGCTAGCAGGTAAACGATTCAAAGTTACTTGGTTTGCACAACGTGAGAAAGGAGAGGGTTACTATCCTAAGCTCAAGACAAATCCTCAAGGAAAGACTACGAGAGAGCCTTCCGAGGACGTCTATTACTGGAGCTGCGGCGTTCTTTGTTACAACTTCCAACTGAAGACAGACATGACCCTCTTCTCGCAGACCAGATAAAAGATCTCTGAGATGTTGAATTCCATGGCAACGGAGGATGTCGACTAGGAAGACCTTCTAGGAACCGATTGCTTCGGAGGTTGGCAGAGTGTCATCGAGATCGAGGTCATTTTTGCTCCCGCATCAGATCAGGTTTCCTTTTGTCGCTGTTCAACAGATTATCTGAGTCTAGTCGTTAGCGGCTTGTAAATTCTTGTAAATATGTACAACAGTAGGTTACAGTTCGCAGCCAGGCACGTGTGACCAACCTTTTTGTTATCTGAGTCTAGTCGTTAGAGGCTTGTAAATTCTTGTAAATTTGTACAACGGTAGGTCGCAGTTCGCAGCCTGGCACATGTGGCCAACCTTTTTGTTTTCGCGATCTTTTCCAAATGTACTTTGCGGTTTTTCACTTTACAATTTTGAGATTTTGAAAATTAACTCACGATTTGTCGTTTGGGTTCCGACTTTTCGATTTGCGGTTTGTCATTCATTTTTTGACTAAAACATTTGTCATATGAACAATTGTCGATTTGCGGTTTGTCATTCAAACTCTCACGACATTATGCTCTTTTCGATTTCCCGCAAAGTCGTGTTAAAGGCCTACAAGGTCGTGTTCGATTTTCATTGAATTTTTACAACGTTCAGCATTGCGTTTAAAGCGCTTCAAACAGCTCACCGATTACGGAATAAAATTTTTACGCCCGCCAAGCTTCATGTCAAATTCTCGTGAAATTATGCTATTTTTCTACTTCCCTAAAATTCACGTTATAGGCCTATAAGGTCTTGTTCGAATTTCATGGCATTTTCACGACTTTTAACACTGTGTTTTTAAGGCTTTAAATACTCGACTGATAATAACCTAAAATTATGCTCTTTTTGTACTTTCCCAAAATTCGCATTATAGGCCTATAAGGTCATATTTGAATTTCGCTCAATTTCCGTGATGTTGAACATTGCGTTTATAGGGCTATAAACATTTGACCGATTGCGGCCTAAAATTATTCTATCCGTGTTTCGTTTTCAAGTAGTCGTTATAGGCCTATAACTCGAAAAATGCGGTTTCCGAATTTCGAGAGAATTTCCCAGGGTCTCTTTCAGATCTCGCGAGATTCGACTCTTTTCTGCATTTGCGCAAATTCGAGTTATAGGCCTATAAGATCGTGTTTGGAAGTCGTTGAATTTCCGTGACGGTCGAATATGGTCAATTTGGCTGTCCACAACTTTTGGAGATTTGAAATCAGTTGTCGTTGGCTGTTGTTTGTTTTCCTCAGCATCCCGTTTTTTTACTACCTTCGCTTTCAAGCTTTTATTTCCTTAGTATTATGAGTGCAAAGAAAGAAACTTTGTTCGCCTTGCCAGGTTTTCGGTTAGTTTTTACGTCCTTGGATCAGGTTCCGGAAAAGGCGTTTCTGTTTTGAAACAAAATACTACTTCCAATGTAAAGTACTGACTGGTCGTTTCGTTTTGCATTGAAATCTCCATAAATTGGAGATCTTTTCGTCGACCATGAGTAGGAGTCGTCTGTTCGCCTCCAAAATGGGCTCTTTTTTCCACGTTGTTGTCGGCCTCATATATTTACTGATTTTTAGGGGGGGGTTCGATGACATTTGCGCACGAAACGGTGCAAAATCCACCTTTGCTTCTAAAAAAATGCTATGTTCCATTGACGTTTTTCTGTCTATAGGATTTTTCTGGTTTTGGTCTGTTTCTCTGGTTTTCACGAATCCATTGTTGAGGGGTGATCGAGGACTCCTACGCCAATGGCATCCTACCTGACGAATTCGCACCAAGTGTAGCTGACACAGACCAGGACTATGTAAGGGTTGTTGTCGACAGCCGATTCTACGAAGTCCAGGCAAAATGGCTTTCGGAACACGCGGTCTCAATACAATTTGAAAACGATGTCTCATCCCTACCTCCTTCCGTTAAAAACTGCTTAGTTCGCATATATGAGAAAGGTTGGGCTCAGTTACCAAATTTTGACTGCGCACCGAGGAGAGGTGTCTTTCGTTGTGATGGCAAAAACTTGGTTACATACGTGGCAAGTGCGAAAGCCATTGCCACTTGGATGATCCGAAAAGGTTCTGATCTCATAGAGCTCGACGGAAAGAGATACACTGTTCATTTCAGAAACTGGATGAACGAAAATGAACTCTATGAGTGGAACGAAGCCCAGAAGCAAAGATACTTCTGGGTAAAAGCTCTGCAAGTGCCAATCTCCATTCTGCCCCACATCAAAAGGGCGATTTAGAAAACATTTGGGAGAATAATCAAGGCTCACGATGCCTTTGCTGACCCGATTTCCCTTGATCTATGGAATATAAGATTCGATATGGAACCAGCGGCCAAAGTTTGGTATAAACAACATCTTATTCTTTATCTGAAAGATGACGGCTGGGTTGACTTGAACATTGCTTGTGCTGATTCCTCCTGGTGCAAAAAGTGTAGAAAATACTTTCATTCGGAGGAG